GACCTCAACTGTGAGGGCCGCGTGGCAGTGTTCCCGCCGGACCTTAACCGCCAGCTCCCAAGCGCACTGGGCGCTGCCGGATCTCAACCACAAACACATAGTCACAACCACAACCACGACACACAGCCACAAAGACATCCACAGCACACAACACGAGGACCCACAAACAAACTCGAGAACCACAAAACTCACGACCATGGCAACATGCTCCTCACTATGGCATGAAGACATGAAATGTCAAGGTGGGGATCACCCGAAGTAAAGTATATAATTTCTTTGTTTCTAACAGCGGTGGCCTCCAACCTAGAAGCGATGGCCTTCAACCTAGAAGTGATGGCCTCCAATTTAATCAGACGACTGAAGACTAGTCTTTTGATGCCTTTTGCGGAGCGACATGCCATTGTTGGCACTTCCATGGTCCTTGATGCAGAGAGGGCTGGCGGCTGTCATCAGGAGCATGTGCCGGTGCTCACATCTGAAATGAAGCAACCGGAGACCGTGCCTGAGGCCACCACACAGGACCAAGCGCGATGAACGTGTCACTCTTATACTGAACCATGTTTGCGCGCACGCTGCGCACGCTCTGACTCTTTGCAGGAGGCGCCTGAGACGTTCTTCTCGTCACTTGTGGAGGCATTTTCCAGTTTGAGCTCTTCAAAGAGTGAGATCCAGCCCGCGGCCAAGTGGGTAAGCCTTCATGTGGAGATGGCATTTGCACATGTGGGCATCTCACCGCAAGAGAGAGGTTGAGGTTATTTTGAAAGGCCATCACTCTTAGGGTGGAGGCCATTGCTATTAGGTTGGAGGCCATCTTGGTATGTTGGAGGCCAATGCTAGTAGGTTGTTCGTTTGCTTTTCTTTGCTTCATTCCCCCTTTGCTTCCTGCTTCTTCCTTCCAGCCGGTGGGAAACATCGATTTAGATTTTTGTGGGGAGGACGAATAACGAGGATGGCTTGAATGTCCAAGCTGCTGGTTCCAAAGACAGATGGTGAGGTCATCCTCCAGCAGTGGGGAATGGGATTGGCAATATGATTGGGAGTGGCAAAGTGACTGGGACTGGCTGCACACCTGGGATTGGCAAGTTCTTTGGGAACAGCTTCTCCTGCTCCTTGGCTGGAGTCTTGAATGTCTTTTTGGAGCAATTCGCAATTTCCGCCGCATGATGACCAAAACAGTCCAGGTTTCTCTACAAGTGGAGTTTTCCACTGGCGATTACCGGTCTTTGCCTCCTTGCAGCAATGTCAGCTGGCACCATGGCGCCAGTGGTCGCACCCATGGCAGCACCACTCGCAGCGCCATTGGCACCGGCGGCAGTGCCTGTTGCAGGAACCGTGGGGGTTACAGCCATGGCAGTGGTGTCCTGGACCATGGCGTTGGTACAGGCACGGGGGCGCGGGTTCATGGGGTGGCGTGAACTGACTTGGCGAGACCCAAAGTGATTCAAGCTCACAGAGTGGCGATGTTCTCCAGATGTCTTGTTAAAGGATGAAGTCAATAGTCAACATGATTGAAGACAAGGTGCATAGAATGTTAATTATATATTATCATAAACAGGCAACTCAACAAGTGTCGGGGACATAGGAAATTCAACAGGGAGAACGCTCCAAGGTAAGATGCTGCGCGAAGCCATCCTAGTGTTCCACTGTGTTTCTAGATTTTTTTAGCTATCTATTGACTGGCCTAGTTGTGTGGTGTACGTCGTGTACGTTTGATTCTGTTGGTTTCATCAGTCTTTGATAGTCTTTGCATGCCTTTTGGTGATGTTATGCAGATGCCTTTCAACACTGTCTTCTTCAGGTGGTAGGAGGCTCAGCATCTGTTGCCGTGCCCGCCCTGACCTTTTTCTATGCATGGCAGCTGCTTGGTAGGCACTGACCCACCATGCAGGAAGGTCGGTTTGGTCTGCCCATATTAAGGACGCTACTAGTAGCTCCTGGCATTACTACTAGTAACAAGAAGCTACCAGGAGCAAGGACGCTATTAGGTTGGAG